CACACCCTACCCTACGCCGCCATTCGTGGCCTCGGCTGTCAGTCACCAGGTCCCACCTGGTGATTGCTGAGCATCTCTGATGGGGGAGAGATCTGTGTATAAACAACACAGATCTCTCCCCTGTCAGCTCCTACACGCTGCTTTGTATGGCTCTGCATAGCAGAGCCATAAAAAGCAGTGTGCCTTCAGTGAAGCACACATACAGCCAACATAGTAAAACAGCACACAGTTAACCCTTTGATCGCCCCAGATGTTAATCCCTTCCTGCCTAGTGCCATTAGTACAGTGTCAGTTCTTTTTATTAGCACCGATCACTGTATTGGTGTCACTGGGGATGTCAGTGACACCAAGTCATTCCCCCCCTCAGTGTCAGAATGCCCGCTGCAGTCCCGCTATAAGTCGCTGATCGTGGCCATTACTAGTAGAAAAAATTCCAGTATATATACCGCCATTTGTAAATGCTATAACTTCCACGTAAACCAATTAATTTACACGTAATGAGATTTTTTTTTATTTTTCTTCAGCAAAGACATGTAGCAGAATACATTTTGGCCTAAATTTAGGACGAAATTTGATTTTTAAAATTCTTTTACTGGACAGATTTAATAGCAAAAAGTAAAAAAAATATTTGTTTTTTTCTCAACATTGTCGGTCTTTTTTTGTTTATAGCACAAAAAATAAAAAAAAAAAACACCGCACAGACGATCAAATACCACCGAAAGAAAGCTCTATTTGTGGGAAAAAAGGACGCAAATTTGACTTGGGTGCAGTATTGCATGACCATGCAATTGTTAGTTAAAATAACGCAGCGCCGTATCGCAAAAAAATGGCGTGGTCAGGAAGGGGTGTAAATCCTCTGGAGGGCAAGTGGTTAAGGAAATGCTTTGAAGGACTGAAGTAGTATGATTTATGTGATCTAAGACACTTGTGAATTGGATAAAGGGGCCATCTTGTACTTATTTTTGGACTGCTACGAAAACACCTGCCTTTCTGTACTACTGGTACACAAAATAAAAAAGTTACTAATTATGCTTATATTCTTCAAATTTGAATATTTTTGATACTCGCGAGTCACTCTAAACACAACATTTTGCTGTATGAATGGTGTGTCCCTTTAGTTGTTTCGCCCCATGTGAGAGAAGAAAATAACTTACCCAAGGGTCAGCATAATGGACATACTTCACATCTTCCAAACCCCCCATATAAACCTATGTTTTGATTCTAAAAAAAATGGAATAGTAATCGGTTCCTTTCCATTTTTAAAGAAAAAATTACCAGCCATATCAAAAGTTAACCTGCATGTGAATTTGAAAGTAGCAATTCCTACGTTTATTTGAAATCAGCATCCTGTTTTCTTAAGCTACGTCTAGCATGTTCTGGTCCCTTGCCATGCGTTATCTGGTCCGATATTGCCAGAACATGATTTCTTAAAATATATGATTTGAAAGATACTCAACTAGAAAATTCTTGGCCCAGTGTGTCTATCCAAGGTACTATACGAAACTCCCTGTGGAGTCTGGCAAGTCAAACAGAGGAAGGAAAAGGGGATTTGGCCACAGGAAGACAGCCATTATCAGATAAACACAAAGAGCATTTCTTCAAGTCTGTTTAAAAGAAGCCTGGAGAGCTTAAAACAAAGGAGAAATATTAAAGGAAGTCAACAGCAAAATGAACCAATAAATTAACAACTGTCAAGATATTATAATGAAAGTCCACATCAGATTTACAGAAATGCAAGTAAGGAAATAGCAAAACGATGAAGACTAGTCTATGTACCGCTCAATGAAGGCTGTATACTTCTACTTTCCTGAAGATCCTCTCTTCTGCTGCAACATGAAACATCTACTTTTACAGCATTACGTTCCTATCCACAACGGATTCTCAGTCTGTACCTCAAAGTAGAGCTGGACCAACAAAGCCAAAACCAGATCTATCTATATACATGTTGGTAAGAGGGGAGATTAGCACTCAGCCAAACAATCATACACTGCTAAAGTGCACATGTAACTGACAGCAAGGTGAATAAAAGAATGGCATTACCATTTTTCATTCTGCAGCCATCAGGTTGAGTGTATGTTCCTCACCAAGACATACTGCTGCTGCAGCAGAGATTGAGGATATGTCTGTGCTCTCTGACAGGGGTGCCTTGATTTCAAAACTTGCTAAACAGAAATTACAAGTCCCTTGACATGTAAAACCTAAAGTGTCTTTTGTTTCATAAGGCTTTGTTCCTTAGCTTGATTTAAGTTCCTGAGCAGCTAAAAAGTCAAATAAATGCAACTCAAATGGGAGTCAAATCACCTCACTGGAAAAGCATACTGCATTTGAGTCACTAATATGAATCTCTCAAAATAATGTGGTTACAGCATATGCTGACATAAGTGATTTTACAATTGGGGAGACACAGGTTGGAGAAGAATGTACAGTATTTTTTCAAGAATCCTATTAAAACCAACAGGAAAACAACGTACATCCATACCTTCTAGATCAACACCAAGGTACACCATATTGCCAAAAGTATTGGGCCAGCCCTCCAAATCATTGGATTCATGTGTTCCAATCACCTCCATGGCCATAGGTGTATAAAATCAAGCACCTAGGCATGCAGACTGCTTCTACAAACATTTGTGAAAGAATGAGTCGCTCTCAGGAGCTCAGTGAATTCAAGTGTGGTACCATGATAGCTTGCCACCTGTGCAATAAGTCCATCTGTGAAATTTCCTTGCTACTAAATAGTCCACAGTCAACTGTTAGTGGTATTATAACAAAGTGGAAGCAACTGGGAACAACAGTAACTCAACCACGAAGTGGCAAGCCACGTAAAAAATGACAGAGTGGGGTCAGCGCAGAAGTCGTCAACTGTCTGCAGAGTCAATACCTACAGACCTCCAAACTTTGTGTGGCCTTCAAATTAGCACAACAGTGCATAGAGAGCTTCATGGAATGGGTTTCCATGACCGAGCAACTGCATCCAAGCCTTACATCACCAAGTACAATGCAAAGCATCGGATGCAGTGGTGAAAAGCACACTGTCACTGGACTCTAAAGCAGTGGAGACGTGTTCTCTGAAGTGATGAATCACACTTCTCGGTCTGGCAATCCAAAGGATGTGTCTGGGTCTGGCGGTTACCAGGAGAACGGTACTTGGCTCACTGCATTTTGCCAAGTGTAATGATTGGTGGAGGGGGGATTATAGTGTGGGGTTATTTTTCAGGGGTTGGGCTTTGCCCCTTAGTTCCAGTGAAGGGAACTCTTAAGGCATCAGCATACCAAGACATTTTGGACAATTTCATGCTCCCAACTTTGTGTTAACAGTTTGGGGATGGCCCCTTCCTGTTTCAACATGACTGTGTATATCAGAGCACTTCCATCTAGCAGGTAAAGTACCTTATGCCTACGGCTGTTCCCAGTACAATGCTAACCTGCATGTTGGCATGAGACTAAGTCAGGGCTCAAAATTTCCAGTCCCCTGCTCACATTGGCGAGTGGAAATATGGTGCGCCGGGAGGGAGAGGAAGAGAAAGAGAAGCGACTTCCAGCTGCTTCACTGAAATCCATACAGGGAGATCAGTGCTTGTAGCTGTCCCCGCCGATGCAGCGATCTTCTCCGACTGTCAATTGGATTTCACTTTCTGGGCCACCCTCCTCTGTGTCCAGCCCCCTCCCTGATCTTCCACACCAATAGGAGATATAGGCTGGATCTCCTCTGCCTCCCCTTGTGCCCACCCACACTCCAGTCCCTGCAGCTCCTCAGAAGAGGATGTGTGGGTGGGAAATTGTATACAGAGCAGCCACAGCTCTGTAATGCTTCTGAGTAATGTCTTTTCTTCGCTTCCTCTCTCTCTCTTCCCTCCCTTCCTTGCTTCCCTTCTTTATTGCTTGCCTCCCTTCCTTCCCCTTACTCCTTCCTTTCTCCCCTTCCCTTCTCCCTCTCCTTTTCTCACCTCCCTACCTCCCCTTCCTTTCTTCCCCTCCTTCCATTCATCATCCCTTCCCATCCTTCCTTTCATTCATCCCTACCCATCCTTCCTTCCATTCATCCCTACCCATCCTTCCTTCCATTCATCCTACCCATTCATCCCTACCCATCCTTCCTTCCATTCATCCCTATCCTTCCTTCCATTCATCCCTACCCATCCTTCCTTCCATTCATCCCTACCCATCCTTCCTTCCATTCATCCCTACCCATCCTTCCAAAGTCCTACCTGCTCATCCTACCATGTTAGTTTTAAATAAATCTAAACTAAAAGCCCAATTTACTTAATTAAATCCGTGGTCCTGTGATGTGCTAGGTCCTGGGGTTTTCTCTCTGCCTCAATGCAAAGTGGGAAGGTCTATCTTTGCGTCCCCACATTATGGTGTGGGTGACATAGGCACGCCATATTGGCTGTCCGGGGGTGGGGTCCTCCCAGTTCCCGGTGACTACAATGGGGTGAGAACTGCTGGAGGGCATCATTTTACAGGTAAGGCTGCCATATTGTGCCAATATGCAGTGTATACTAGCATAATATGGCATAAACCTCATGTAGATGCATGTATTTAAAAAATATATATAACAGAATTTACTTCCACTTTAAATTTAGTGATTTGTTTGACTAGTGTGCGATCTGTACTGTGGACACCTTCATTTAGTAGCTATGACAGTGTGTAGGTGGCCCAGGTAGCAGTGTTGCCACCCAATTGTGAGCAGCACCAGGATTACTGGTGGTACTCTGTCACAGCAGACATTAGGAGTACACTCCCAACCCATAGCTAGGAAATGCTTGGGCTGACTTACTAAAGGAGTTCAGAATCTTCACTCAAAACTTGCATAAAATATTCACTTTTAACAATATTCCCAATTAAGTGCAAAACAAATTTCTGATCACTTTGAATAACCAAACATGCAGTTGCTTTTTCACTTGATTGGATAACTGAAGTTAATATTCACACAGCTTTTTATGAAGATTGTCTACCCCTTTAGAAAATCAACCTCAGTCTCAATTGATGCTTTTACTTACTTGGATTTGGCTGTAATAAGACTTCTGTCTGCTTCATAATTTTTTCAGTCCATACTTTTGTGCTTTCAGCCTTGGCAAGAAGATTCTCGAGGTGGGCATCTAGCTCTGTTTTCTCTGCCTGTCCAAGTTTCTCTTCTGTAAACTGTTGGGACAAAGACACATGAGTTTATGTAAAACAAAAACAAAAAAAAACAAACAAACAAAAAAAACCACAAAACCCAAGAATACAAATGGGATCTCAATAAAGGCAGAAACTACAGCTCCCTTTTATAAAGCAAATGCAAAGATGGAATGATCAGAAAGTAGTAAATCAAGCAACAGAACACAAAGATAAGGCCACCTACCCACCTTACATCCAATCAAAAGGAACATGCAGATTGACTATGATTGGCCCATGCACCATTTTATAGCTGTGGGTCAATCACAGCTCACTATAGGAAACAGCTGTTATGAATGGAATTCATAAATTAAATAATATGTGATACAGCGGTCGCGGAAGTGGAGTTCAAGTGCGCATCTGCTAAGGTGAAGTACGGGTGCATCATTTATGCCCCTAGTTCACAGTATAAGTACTGCGGGTGGTCAGCAACTGGTTAATCAAACATTTGCTAAAAAAGAAAATTCTCGGTCAGTTATATAAATTGTGAGGATGTCGGCAAATTTCCTTCCACTGATTTTATTGAAATTCGTACATGGCTTTTTTCTTACATCTTCCTTTCTGCTGCCTATTTCCTAAATAGGACAGTCTTCCTGCAATAATCACATGATCAGTATTGTAATTGGAAAAACTGCAGGGAGCAACTGTGAGCTAATCATTTAAGCAGAAATTACACTGATACCATCTCTCCTTAATTGAGGGACCCAGTGAGGCCCCAAAACCGTTTATTTGAATCAGAGAAGAAACAGCATTTGGAAGAAAGACACACAGGATCCACGGTAAATGCTGAGATGTGCAGAACTAGTATGAATTTCACGGTAGAGTTTAGGGTCACTTTAAATACATGGTCTTGCCTTTAACCCACATAAGATTTACAAGTGTATATTCCATGAACTGGTAGCCACTGCAATGGTCAATAATAGTAAAGTAACCTAAAAGGAATTTAAACAGTAAAACTGCTACAGCTTGCATCAATCTTTCATTTCCTAAATTTTGCAACTCAACCAAAGTGGCTGTAATATTAAAGTGTTACCAAGTCAATTTGTTTTCTTTACTAAAATAACACACATGTTATACTCACATGCTCTGTGCAGTGGTATTGCACAGAGTGGCCCCGTGCAGTGGTATTGCACAGAGCGGCCCCAATCCTCCACTTCTTAGGTCCCCCGCTGGCAATCCTGGCTCCTCCTCTTTTTAGCGTGTCCTCATAGCAACCCAATTGCTACGGTGGCACACGGAGTCATTTACTAAAACTGCATGGTGCAAAATCTGGGACAGCGCTGCATATCAACTAACCAGCTTCCAGGTTTTATTGTCAAAACTTAATTGAAAAAGCTGAAGTTAGAATCTGGTGCAGCTGTGAATAGTAGCAAATCAGCTTCTAAGTGCACCTGTTTTAGTAAATCTCCCCCAGTGTCTGCTCGCTCCCTAACTGTGCGTCTATGGAACCAGGCGCCTTAGACTTACACAGAAGGACTTAGCCCCAAGGAATGCATGAAGGTAAAACAAAGATCTTAGCCTTAGTATCACTTTAAAGCTGAACTCTAGAATAAGCAAACTCTTGGCTTAATACAAGTGGCATGTGTATTCTCACTTGAATGTGGGTGTTCTTTGTGTATTTTTTCTAGATCTGTGCAGTAATCCAGTGTGAACCTTTTTCCTTTGTGCAGGAGCTTCTTGTGATCCAGACCAGTCTATGCTGCTCTCTTGCCTCATCTTGTGCGGGGCAACAGGTCTTCTATCCAGCCCTCCTGCAGTTTCCTGCTGACAGTCTGTAGTGGGTGTCCGTCCCACAGCTCTGCTCAGGGTATGTGCAGCACAGTGATGTCACAACCACTATTGCAAGGTAATAACTTGACATGCAAAGACATTTAGTGCACACAAAGTAGATTATATCCCCTACGGCTATTGTGGAATATATTTAAATTAAAGTTTAGTGCCCCAAGTATTATTACTATTCAGTGTTGTGGCAGTAAAAAAAAAAAAAAAAGCAGATATGCTGATTCCAAGACCTGGCATTCATTTAAAATAAGCTGGAGGTTTTAAAATGATGTAACAAATAAAGTTGGGCACCCTGGACCTGGACAGATAAAACTGAAAAGTCAAATACCAGCTGCTTTTACAGTGGAATCAAGATCACCACAAACGTCACAAGGGAATTTTTCCAGTAGTGACACCTCATCAGTTCCTGATTTATACAATGTGTATTTTGAAAATTCACACTGTTAACAGCTTAAAAAAAAAAAAAAAAAAAAAAAGTCAACCCTGCTACATAAATCCTCTCTGTATTAGCAATGACCTAACAAAGCAGTCGGGAAAACAAAGTATCTTAACCCATCAACAAAAAATATATTGCACTTTACCCAGTCCTTAGACTCATTAGCTGAATTTTTTTTTTTTTTTTTTTTTTTTAAGTCCTTTCCTTAATTTTCACCTGATGAACCTGAGTACAACACTTCCTGTCCTAGGTTAAGGCTGGCCATACACTACACAATCTTCATACAAATTTACACTACACAATCGTCATACAAATTTCTGCCCAATTTCCTTTAGATTTACCTTCAACTATGTAGTGCAAGGGCTTGCCTAAATGGAAACAATTGAAAGTTTTGTTTAGGTTTGACCTCAAATTATATGGCTTTTGGTAAATCTAAAGCAAAATTCTCAAGAAAATTGTATAATGTATGGCCAGCCCAAGGCCCACTTACTGTACTGTATCTATGAAGGAACAGCATTGTCACCCTAGTCCTAGATAACTTCTCCTTCTACTCATCTCTATAACATAAGGGGAGACATTCTTTAGTCCACAGAATATTGAGGCAGGACCGATAACTTTGTGCGATTTAGATCGGTATCATCAGCTCACAACAGGTAGCTAGGAGCTCACTAAATTTATGGCAGGATCACCAGGCGTTTTATATTTACAACATGGTATCAAAACAGATATATAAAAAAAAACAAAAAAAAAACAAACAACCTTCAATGGTATAGTTAAAGTGTTACTAAAGGTACATTTTTTTTTTTTTAAATAAACATGTTATACTATGCAAGGGTCTGCTCATACAGGCAGGCAGATACACAAAGACAGGAACTATCAATGAACTACCTAGAGTGCTTACCAGCGCTCTAGTAGTTAATTGAAAACTGAAAGTTGTCAGCTGCAGAGGCTGACAGTAGTTGTAGTTTTTTCATTCACATAACTCTGAATGAATGGCTTGACTGGCCGCGGGCAAAGCCCTAGCACAGTAATAATTTTTTTGTTTTTTTTTTATTAAACTGTGACAGCGAGTTTGGGGTGAAGAAAAAGAAAAAAAAAAAAAAAAAAAGGAAAAAAAAGCTAACTTAAATTAGGAAAAAAAAAGTCTTAAAATATACTTACTTGATGTTCCGCACACTTAGCAAAACCCAAAGATCGAAACGGAGGATCCCAAATCTCATGAAAGTGCATCTCTGTATAGAACAGGAGCACATTTCCATGGGATTCTTGGCTTTCCTGGGATCCTGAGAAGGCCTAGTGAAGTCATCAGCAGAAGCCACCAGAAGCTGGGGGTTTAGGGTAAGTTTTCCCTTTACCTTCAGCTAACTCTCCTTAATCTGGAACTGGGGGCTGCTTAACAAATGGATCTTGTGTTTTTCATTAAAGATCCACTTAAGGACTAATGCCAGTTATCTACTAAAACGTGAACTGAATTTGGTGGCAAAAAGACTACAAAAAAAAAAAATTATATATGATTTATATTTATGTTCTACTCACTGTAAAATCCTTTTCTTCGAGTCCATTGAGTGAGAACAGAATGTCTTAAACCTTCGGGCCCCTTTCAGATGGGGCGGACCTGCCAGCAGACCGGTTTGCTCAGCGGGGGATCTTTCAGCTGATCCCTGCAGAGCAAGCAGATGACAGGTCTGCATCTGCAGACACAGTCTACTTTTTCCTATGGGGCGGTCAGATGGAAACGGACTGCCTGTCCGTTTCCACCTGTCATCGGATCCTCTGGACAGATGGGGAATGGATCCCCATCACTACTACCACCAGCATGTCTCCGTTTTGTAGCAAAACAGTACTGGGAGCAGAATGATAAACATAGTGGGTGGAGCCTATGTCCACCAATGGACTCCAGATAAAAGATTTTCAAGTGAGTACAAGAATCCTATTTTCTTTCTCATCCACTGAGGGACACAGTCTTTGGGAAACACAAAAGCAGTCCAACTGTGGGTAGGCAACAGCAAACAATCATTAATAGCCCCAGCGAAACAAGAAGAACTGGGTACTCCTGCTGGCAGCTCCATAAGCCACCTGAAGGACCTTATGTCCAAAACTAGCGTCAGATGAAGCAGTAATGTCTACCTGGCAGAATGTAGAGAATCTGTGAATAGATGACCAAGTGGTAGCCTTGTAAATCTAGAAAACAGAGGCACAATACCCAAAAGCTCAACAGCCTTTGTGGAGTATACTTCAACAGGAAAGAGAGGAATCCGATCCTTCAGACCATAAGTCTGAACAATGGTCTATCAGAGCCATCTAGTGATGGCGGAACGAGAAGCCAGGGCACCTTTTCTGGGGCCCATCTGGAATGACAAAAGTGAATCAGTCAATCTGAGAGAAGCAATGGCTCAGAGTTAGACACACACAGCCCCATTCACATCAAGACAAAGGAGGGAAATTTCCAATTAACAAAACAGAAGCAGGCAAAAAGGACGGCAAAACAATGTTCTGATTAAAGCGGAACTAAACTATATCTGAACACCACAAACTGCAAAACACCATTTAATTCATTTTTAATATTCACAGAAAACACCCATCCATCTATGTCCCCATGCTTTATTGTGTTGAGAAATCACTTTGAAAAACACACCCCCTAGCATTTCTAGCAGTGGCCGTCTTGAGTAAGGGCTTAGGATTCAGGCAGCATTTACTTCCTGGAATCCATCCTTCCTTAGCTCAAGCAGACAGGCAGGAAGGTGTGCTTAGCTGAGAAAGCCCCTCTTCCAGATGAAAGAAAAAAAAATGC